GCTGTCCCGGTGTCTGTAAGCAGCGGTTGAAGTTAAATGTTAACGCCAGAGGCGCTGGGGTGTTGTGAGCTGTTAGGAGAAGCGCGGGGCTCTCCCCGGCCCCTCCGCCAGGCCAGGCGTGTGGGCTTGCTGCCCGGGACAGACGTTTGCTGCCCGGTCTGGGGTGCCTAAAGGCACCGTGCTTCGGCTGTTCCCGTGTGCTGGGGCTGCGCCACGCCGTGCCGCTAACAATAGTTCTGCGTTAGCCTTGTAGTGGGTGTGTGTTCTGTTTAAAGATGCTAAACTGAGCCTAGGTAGAGTAATTTAGGATTGCTGTGTTGCAAAATTGGTGATAAATTTGCCTTTGCAATTTATTATGTATTACTCTGGGGGGGGAGGGGAAAGCAAGAGTTAGTGGGTTTTTTCATCCTTGTAGTTTTTACCTTAAGCTGGAATTAACTTTCATATAGACAATGACGTAAATTAGAGTCCAAAGCTCAGCATGTGAGTCCAGATGTTATTTAGTTGGTTACATAGCATTTTTTGTGGGACAAAGGCTAATCCTGTGGGACACAAACCTTACTGATGCTTTTTAGAAAAGGGTTTGGGTTGTTGGTTTTTTTTTTGGGGGGGGGGGGGGGGTGCACTGCGTATCGTAACTTCCTGAGAACAGATCATCTGTTTGCACTCACTAGTGCAATAGATAGCCAAGCATGTGATGTATCATTGAACCTGAGATTTATAATATTCTCAGAAAACCCTTGTATGTTAACTTACAAATCTTGCTAGTGGCAACTACTGTAAGTATGCAGCACCATTGTAGAGCAATGGTTATCATACTTGTGATGACTCCTGGACTAGTCAGTATGTCTTTTTTTCTGACAGAAAAAAACTCTAAAAGTAACCATGGAGAGATCACATCTCAGGCCTCTGAAACAGTTGAGCTTCTGGTCATTGCACCAAATGCAAAAGGATACTATTATTTCAGACTATGCGTATGGCTAAAACTTGTTTTAACAGTAATAGTGTGGTTTTACTTTCATACTGACACCTCTAATAGTCTGTTTTTCTAGTATAGTACAGATGCCTGTTTGCTGGGACAGGGAGATGGTGTTACCTGCTTAGTCCTTTCAGGTCTTAGTTGTCATAGGCCTTACCTCCTTAAGTGTGACCTAGGAGGACAGAACAGGTGAAAAGCAGGGCATTTGTGTTTGGCTAAATAATTATTAATTAGTGTGTGCTCTTAGAAAGCAATGTTTGATAAATGTTAAACTGCTTTGACAAACTGAAGACTAGTGCTGCTACCAAGAGAAGCAGCCCCATTGCTACCTGTCCTTCTGCTTCACAATACCTTTGCAGGCACTGGTAGCTAGATGGTAAACTGGAGGGAATTCATTCAGCTGAAAACTAACATTCTTTCCCTCACTCCTCCTCCTTTTTATAACCTTTAATTAAATTTTTAAAACATCTTTTTCCTGAGCACATCACTGGGTTCTTTTTTAAGGTTTTTGTTTGTTTCACCACCACAGCTTCTGTTTACCTCATCTTTTTTTATACCATTAATGCTTGAACTAGTGATTGTGCTTCTCTTTAGGGACTTCTGTGATATTACTATTGATAGAACTGAGTGTCTCAAAGTTCTCCGCAAATTATTATAATTCTAAGGTAAAACACATTGAAATATGTTATGTACATTGTAGGCTTTTGTTAGCATGACAACAAGTAGCTAGTGTTCTGACAGTAGCTTTGCAAAAAGAAAAAAAAAAAGACAGCAAATGTCTTATAATTGCAATTTCTTAATACAATAGCAGCTTTCTGTGTTGCTGAATTAAGAGTATTTACTGCCTACTATCCTTGACAGTGAAAAGGAAGAAGTGAGGAGAAAGCAAACTATGACGGTGTTGGTTATTGGCCTTGGAGGGTAAGTATTAGCAAATTAAATTTACTCTACAGCTCAAGACTGGTCTTCCTTTCAGAATGAAGTGATGCAACTTCTATTTATGAATGGATATTTTTTGGAAAATAGATTACAAATACAACATGCAATTGTCTTATTCTATGGCACGTAATTCTTAAGATATTGTTCCTCTCTCTATCGGACATCTCCGGTACCACTTCTCTCTTAAGCTCTTCCTTGGCACAGCTGGATTTACTGTCTGAAAGCTGCTGGAACCTGTCAGAAAATTTCCAGATGTAGAGGGTATTTAATGTGAATAAACTTTGGGGGGTTTTTGTTTTGTCTTTGTGGTTTACCCTAACTATATAGAAATGTGTGTGTGAGCTTGTACATATGTTTAAAAGATAGGTTTTTGTCTTGATGCAGTTTTTATTATGTTTTCTAACTCAGTGTAACAAATGGGGGGAAAACAACACTGGCGGAAAAGCTTAAGAAAATGCTTCCCAACTGTGATATAATCTCTCAAGATGACTTCTTTAAGGTAACAGTATTGATGAAAAGACCTGGTCGATAAAAGTAGGCTTGAATAGATTTTAGTATCGTTTCTTCTCAGTTCTGCTTAATATAATGGTAACCTCACAAAAAAGAGAAAAAATTAGCACTGGTGCCATTGAACTTTCAGTGACTAAAACCACAGAGTATACTCAGCAAAAAGAAGTTTACTGTCTCCTTTGATATCCTTTTAAAATAAGGAACAGGTGTATGTTGGATGCATTTTTCAAGATACTTTGTGCTAATGAAGTTAATGATATTGTTGTGTTAGCTCTACATCCATACAGTAGGTAGTTCTTCGTTTCCCAAATCAAAACAGAAAAAACTTTAGCTTTTACATTGGAGTTGTTAAGAAGGGTGAAGCAGTTCTTATTTCTGAAGTAAAGCTCTAGTGAACTTAAGAGGTATGATTTGGAGAATTTGTTGTTCTAGATTGTTTGTATTGTATTTTAATAGTTGTATACAGCAGTCTAATTTTCAAGATAAGTTTAACCAATTGGGATACAAAGGTGTATAACCCTTATTTGTATACGAAGAGTATGTATCTGTGAAAGTGGTCATAAAAGCACCAGTCTTGAAAATAGTAATTTTTTTCCTTTCAGCCAGAGTCTGAAGTAGAAACAGATGAACGCGGATTTAAGCTATATGATGGTCAGTAACTTTGATGCGTTGCTTTTGAACATTGTACTGAAACACTGTTGTGCTGAGCTTCAACACTTCTTCCCCTCTACCCCCTGCCCCTCTTCCCTTCTGAACAAGGCAGTAAACGAATGGTTAAGAGCAAGGTTTTGCTCAGTTTCTCTCAGCTCACTGCATAAATAAAAAAAACACTCGTTGAACTGGTAAATAGCTCAAACTAGTGCTTGACCTTTCCTTTTCGCTTTTTAATCTTTTCCTCTAACAGTTGCATCTGGTGCAGTAGTAAATGGTACTGTTCAGTTGAAAGTCTTGGCTTGCAGCATCGGCATAAGTTTAACCTCATCACTTTCTATGTAATGGTGGATTATTTTTTCCACTTTGATAATGAACTCATGAGATATCACCACTGAGTCTCCTTCACTGTTGTTTTCCACATCGGTCAAAACTTGGGTCTGATCCTGACACCCTTATTTCATGTTAGATTTCATATAGAGACCAAATGTTTTGAAGCTCATGGTTAATGCTGGCTCAACATGACAGTTTAGTCTTACAGACTTCTAGATCCAGATCCACTTTAGGCCAGTGCTTTGGTTCAGGTCGTACCAAGTTGTGAACAGTCAATTATTAGCTAATCTCTGTTCATACGTGGTGATCACAAAATGTATCATTGCTCAGGAACATTGGCCAGAACCTTAAATTATATCTGAAAACTGACTCTTAGGAGCAGTCCTTGGCTCAACTTCTAGACTTCATGAAACTGAAGGGATAGGTTGGGCATTCTGGTTCAAATATCTGGGTTTAATGCAGCTCTTAAAAGTACCTCTAAAATGCATTTACTCTTATGTTATCCAGAGGCTGCCTTCTGTCTACCATTCAGTACTTACTTGGTATGTTCTTACGTGTCTACAGACAAAACCAGGTGCTACATAGTGCTGTTTTGCTTTGTATGCCATCCTCCCTTCAATCCAATCCATCCATCCCCACCCTCCAAATACCTGAAACCCAATAAAAACCCAAAGTAAAAATTTGTGAGCGCCCCCTCCCTTCACCTGTGTCAGTGACAATTGCCAGAAAGGTAGAGGTCTCAAGGCAAGTAAGTTTTTACAAGTTTTGTGGAATAGGAGAAGAGTCCCTGCAGTTTCTATTGTCAAGGGAAAGGCTGTGAAGTGAGTTCAGAGACTTTTTGGTGCCACAGAGTTCAGAGAGACCACAGTCCCCAGAAATACCTCAATCATAGAATGGTTTGGGTTGGAAGGGACCTCAAAGATCATCTAGTTCTAACCCCCCTGCCATGGGCAGGGACACCCTCCACTAGACCAGGTTGCCCAAAGCCCCATCCAGCCTGGCCTTGAACACTTCCAGGGAGGGGGCATCCACAACCTCTCTGGGCAAACTGTCCCAGTGCCTCACCACCCTCACAGTAAAGAATTTATCTCTAACATCTAATCTAAATCTAAACCCTTCTTCAGCTTAAACCCATTACCCCTTGTCCTGTCACTACACTCCCTGATAAACAGTCCCTCTCCAGCTTTCCTGTAGGCCCCTTCAGGTACTGGAAGGCTGCAATTAGATCTCCCCGGAGCTGCCTTTTCTCTAGGCTGAACAACCCCAACTCTCTCAGCCTATCTTCATAGGAGAGGTGCTCCATCGCTGTGATCATATCTGTGGCCTTCCTCTGGACCCTCTCCAACAGCTCCATGTCTTTCTTGTACTGGGGCCCCCAGAGCTGGACGCAGTACTCCAGGTGGGGGTCTCACAAGAGCGGAGTAGAGGGGCAGGATCACCTCCCTCGACCTGCTGGTCACACCTCTTTTGATGCAGCCCAGGACACAGTTGGCTTTCTGGGCTGCAAGTGCACACTGGGAAAAGCTTTAATTTCAGGGTATCATCAGCTGCAAACATGTAACTACTTATATGCAAGAGAAAGAATTCTTGGGGTAATCCCATTCCCTTTTAGACTTGTATGTAGATTATTTGATTCTTAGTGATTAACCTAGGGGTACTTAAGGGTTGTTTTTGGTTTTTTATTTTCTGTTTTTAAAAGGTGCCTAACTTTCTGTTTTCATCTAGTACTTGATGCCCTCTATATGGATGAAATGGTGAAAAGTATTCGCAATTGGATGATATGTCCGGCAAGCACAGGTGTTGTGATGGAAGAGCCACAGAGTACATGTGACAAACTGAAAAATACAGAAGATGCTTATATTTTGATTGTTGAAGGCTTTCTGCTATACAACTATGAGTAAGCAGTAAGATGCAGCCTGGTATATTAAAAGCTGCCCTAAAAAGGAAGAGGGAACTAAATATATTATTATCTTAGGCCGCTTAACGAACTGTGGGATAGAAGATATTTTTTGACCCTTCCTTATGAAGAGTGCAAAAGGAGAAGGAGGTAAGATTATTCAGTTACTGTTCACAGAGGGCACTGTACCCCCTGAACTGGAGTGGTTCTTTTGTACCAGCTTTTCTTCAGTGCTTGCCAAATGTAAGCTATTGGACCATCTGTCCCCTGATTCCCAGGGAAAGCTGTGTGGGTATTTAACCACCATTAACAAAAGCATGCAGAGATGGGGGGGCGGGGGGGTGGTAGGCCTTGCATTTTAGAGCATAGGGATATTAAAATGTTAAATGTTTTACAAACACTGAAAAGATAATTCATTGTCCAGATAAATTACTTAGATTACTGACTGCTTATTGGAGTTAAAACATGCTTTAAATGAGAAATAAACAGTTAAATACTAAGCTGTCTTATCCTTGGTTGAGTACAGCTACATGATGATTATTGTTAAAGTAACAATGTTCATGTGTAGGTTTTAGTGTACACTTTGTTTAGACTGTGCATTGGTTGTACCATATAGCTGATATATTGAGCCAGTGTCTGACTTGCTTCCAAATTTGGAGCAATACTGTGTGCTTGGAGCAATACACATGCACCAAGTCAGAATCTGCTGGCTGAGTGAAGAAATCCTCTATTCAACTGGCTTTAGTCAATTCTACTTTCTTGGTTCCTCACTAGACTCACCTTTAAAGGACTTCAGTGTCCATGCTGGAAGTGACTAGACAAAACTGCTAGTCATTTACAGCTTGAGAAATTTGTATACCCAATCAAAAAAGGAAAAAGTAATTTGTGTTGTAACACTTTCAATACAGTTTAATTTACATGTAATATCTTTACCAATTGAAAAAAAAATCCTTTTACCTCATCTTAAATGTAATTTGATTGGCAGAAATAGGTAAGTTAGCAAAAGTTCACGTCACAGATTATAGTAAAACAAAGGAGCCTCCTTTGCTTGAACAGTTATGTAGCCTGCCAACCTGTTTTTATTTTGGATAGATGTTCTTATTAAACTAGCTAACACTAGGGGGAAAATTTAAAACTTGTATGGGAAACCAAATATATTTTTGTGTAGCACCAGAGTCTATCAGCCAGCAGATACACCGGGGTACTTCGATGGACATGTGTGGCCTATGTATCTAAAATATAAAAATGAAGTGGAAGAGAATGCAAGTAACATTGGTATGGTATTCTTAATTTTAGACTTATAAAATCCTTAAGTGTGACACTTCCGCGCTTTTTGTTGGGGTGCGGGGTTTTTCGTATGTGACCATTTTCTTCAAATATTTTTGTGGCACTTGGGCAGTAGGTTTGGACCTTTTGTTGGTTTATTTTTCAAGTGTCTAGGGTTTTGGTTTTTATTTTTTAATAATGAAAATTATGAAGTTAGAAATGTTCTGATCACTAACTAAGTTCATTTAACAAGCTAGTTTGTGCCTGCATGTGTGCATACATGCATATGGCTGAATAGGAAGCCTCTGAGACAATAGCGGATGCACTGGCAGAATTTGTCAGAACAGAATTAAAACCCTGGTTGAAGTCCTATAATAAGGCGAAGTTACTTCCTAGGTGCTTTCTGTACAACCTACAGTCACCAGTCTTGCACAAGAAGTGCCAAAGCTGAGCCAGCTGATGGGGCGTTGCCATGAGCTTGTGCGATGTTCACACTCGTGGAGTCCTTGGACTGACTGCTTCTGGAGTGAGGGCCAGAGGAAGGAAAAGTTGGATGGCTGCTTCACAGCACGGAGACTAGGGCACCACTTCTTGCTGCCCAGTGAGAGTGGGAACTGCAGTGCCCTTCCTTTACTTGGTCAAACCCTGAAGCTGAGGAAGAACCCAAGGTCTTCCACTGTATAGGAACCTTCCTGCTG